AATCATGGACATATTGATATGAAAGATATTGTATAAATGAAGCCAATGACTGCTTGATCATTTTATGCACTAATTTTCCCCTCTCCTTTGGACTATAATTGTCCTAGAATAGGTGTGAACAGCAATCCATTTTAGAGACAAAAAAGCTATATTAACAGAATCATCTATAAAACAAAGGTCACATCTCCCGTCAAAATAGACGTAGAAACTTCAATTTCCTCAAGGCAAAATTTCCATCTAACAGAATCGTTTCATCTACAAATGACATATTTCAATTTTAAACACACAGAGGGTAAAGCTCTTCTAAAAAAGAGGATATATAAAACAAAATATAAAATATATTTTTAATAAATAATTATTTCTCAGAGAAACTTATATTTAAATGCGTGAAAAAAGCCCCATAAACATACTAATATATACGAGGTGTGTTTAAAAGTATCGCGACTTTTGTGTTTTTTCAAATATTATTTATTTATTCATGAATACCTATTTTGTCCCCTTCAAAGTAATCCCCATGAGATATTATACACTTGTGATAACGGGTTTTCCAATCTTCGAAGCACTTCAAAAAATCTTTTTTTTTTTAAATCTTGTTCAGCTCCTCCTTCGATGCCGTCTTTATCTCGTCAAGCGTAGCGTAACGTCATCCTTTCATGGGCCTCTTCAGTTAAGGGAACAAGAAAAAGTCACAGGGGGCCAGATCTGGGGAATACGGTGGCTGCGGCATCATTAGTGTGTTGTTTTTGGCCAAAAGGTCGCGCACAAGCAACGATGTGTGAGCAGGGGCGTTATCGTGGTGCAAAAGCCAATTTTTGTTCTTCCACAAATCCGGGCGTTTCTGGCGGATTGCTTCGCGCAAATTGCGCATAACTTGCAGGTAATATTCCTTATTGACCGTTCTACCCTGTGGCAAGAACTCATGATGCACCACGCCCCTGCAATCGAAGAAAACTGTCAGCAAAACTTTCACATTCGACCGAACTTGGCGCGCTTTTTTCGGTCTTGGTTCGTGCGGCAGCTTCCATTGAGATGATTGAGCTTTGGTTTCCACGTCATAACCATAAACCCACGCTTCGTCACCAGTTATGACCCTCTGGAGCAAATTTGGGTCGTCGCGGACAGAGTCCAACATCTCATTAGCAATGTTCATGCGATGCTGTTTTTGGTCGCAATTGAGCAATTTTGGTACGAATTTCGCGGCGACCCGTCTCATGCCCAAGTCATTGATATAAATCGAATGGCACGAGCCAATCGATATGTTTAGGTCCTCAGCAACTTCTCTAACGGTGATTGGCCAATATAATTTTCTCCGCTTCATTAATTTTTTCGTCTGTTGTTGAAGTGCTCGGGCGTCCGGCACGCTCTTCGTCGTTCACATCTTCTCGGCCTTCTGAGAACATTTTGTACCACCGATAAACGTTGCTTCGGTCCAAGGTAGCTTCTCCGTATGCCACAGTCAACATTCGGAATGCATCCGCGCACTTAATTTCGTTTTTTTTAATAGGTAAAAATCGAAGACGATCCAAAACACCTGCAAGCAAAGCAGCTGTCAACAATTAAGTGAACATTCAAAATGGCCGAGCTTGTCGGCATAAGTGAGAGACATGAGTACCAACATAAAACCACAAAAAGATCAAAATTCGAATATACGTAACCCGCGAAAATTCAAAAGTCGCGATACTTTTTGAACACACCTCGTATATTTCATATAGATTAATTAATATAAAAACAATAAAGCGCCATCTATATATAGCAAATGAAAACATTAAGACGCGAATGTTTCTTTCACAAATGAATTAAATTCCCACTGTCCTTACTGCGATGAAACAAAATATATGAGCAGAATAATCCAATACAGTATTAGAGCTCTAAATAAGCGGTCTGATAGATTAAATTGGCGAAACTGCTGAAGGGTTCACCACTGATGAGCCAACCCCTTCAATAATTTTCATCGAAGTAAGGGCAGTAGAAGTTTATTTTATTTGGAAAAGAACAAATCGTGTTTTATAGTTTTATTTCTTAAATATTTTTAGTTGAACATACAAAAAATTCATAATACAGAACACAATTACTGCATCCAAATGTGTGGCCCATCAGAATTTTTCTTAAATATTGAGTACTAGAAGAATGACCCGGCTTCGCCCGAGAAATCCCCCGAGTGGAGTATCCTTCATACTGAAAGTACATCAATAATAAATAGTAGAAGTGCCATAGAATAGCAATACAGAAGAAACACATAAACTACAGGAAAAAAAGTGTATAATGGCAAAAATTGTATTATATTAGTGTTTAGGTATTTGATTCAATTATTTTTTGCAATCCATTTAGTTGTTTCAAAATTAATATAGTTTAAATAGACGGCAGATTTTCCACCAAACCCCCATTAACCTTTGAAATTGCCTGAGTTGAGTGACTGACTGTAAAGAATCCTGACTGCGATGCCCATCTTCTCAGTAAGAATTAAAAAAATAATAGGTTTATAAAAAAAATTAATCCAAAATACTGGCATGTAAATATTTTTCTGTAAAAAATAAAAGAGCATATGGAAATATTAGGCAAACATATGTGTTCGTTAATGATTGCGACTGCATTTTAAACGATTTTTAAAAAGAGATTTAAACAAATAAAGGCCAGAACAAAAATTAATAAAAAATATGAAATCCATTATTTACATACATTCACAAAAGCAAACGATGACAGAATTGATGGCTCTGATACTTGTATATAGAATAATATAAATGAGTTTTAAAAATTGTAAAATAAAAAATGCATCGGCCGGGAATTGAACCCGGGCCGCCCGCGTGGCAGGCGAGCATTCTCGCCACTGAACCACCAATGCTTATAAGAAATGGCCATATTTGGGTATTTATTCCATTCACAAATGCAAACGGGGGGTCGGTGGAAGGCTGGTTAAACCGTTTGGTTTACGACCACTACGACCCGGGTTCGATCCCCGCATTGGACACTTTTTTCTGTTAAAAAAAAAATGCTCTAATGGCCCCCCGATTCTTGCAAAAGTCCAACCCCACCAGCGAGTGCAAGTAACCAAACGGGGCTCTGGCACATTTGTAAGTGCAAAGTCGAACTGCTTTCACATGTTTAGACATGTGGTGCGCTTACAGTAAAAAAAGCAGTCGCTAACTACCCACCATGATTATCATGGCCTGTACCACGTGTACTAGGGATAAGCAAAAAAAAAATGCAAACGGTGACAGAATTGATTGATTGTTGATTATATTCTGATACTTGTATATTGAGTATATGAAGTGCGCAAGTATGTGACTCTGCGTTTTTTCAGGTTAAAAAAAATCTAATGAAATTGACACCAAATAATACGATCTGATCTGCTCCATGGACAAGACATCACCACCACAAAATTATACTAGACACATTCAAAATAATTGTCATTGTTTAATACACACACAATATTCTCCCATAATTTTGGTAATTTATGGATGCCAACATAAAAAAAAAGTTTGGTTTCTAGGCAATCCATTCATCAAGCCATTTTTCAACTTCTTCGCGATTCTGAAAGCGCTGAGCCAGCCCATGTGCCATCGACCGGAAGAGATGATAATCCGATGGAGCAATGCCTGGAGAGTATGGCGACTGGAGTAAAACTTCCCATTTGAAATCTTTCAGGATGTCTTTTACCGATTGTGCGACGTGTGGCCTTGCGTTGTCATCAACTTGTCATGTCGTTGCGCCCATTTTGGTCGTTTCACTGCGATTTCTTGGCGTAACTGCGTGAATTGTTGTGGATTTCTATGAGCAGTATCTATTTTTTTTTTTACCATATCGACTATTTAAATATTTTCTCGAAGCAATATAATCAGTAAGGGTTTAAGTGGTAGACATGTGGTTCACTAACAGTTAAATCAGTCGCTAACAGGCCATGATGATCATGGCATGTGCCATGTATACTTGCGATATTTTTAAAAAAGTAATGAATGTAAAATTTTCGGTGGAGGGATATAAATGTTCGAAGTAGTTGATATCAAATTTCAGAGCTATAAATAAGCATATTAGACTGATAACAGACTTGTAGGCCGCAAAATGACTATGCTCCATTTCAGCCTTTCTCAAAGTCGAAGAGCATAATAATATGGTAAATATTGTTGCATCATGGTTAAGGCGCCTATTTTTATCATAATAATTTCTAATATTATTTTAATTATATTTTAAATTTCATATTTATTTTTTTTTTAACAGATTATATACTATAAAATCACCATTCGTATTTTGAAACACTGTGATTTCACAACTCTTTAAACTTCGATGTGAAAATATAAAATATTCTTGATGACCCCTAAAAATATAGTTGCCTTGTTATTGACTCATATAAGTTTCTAGGATGGTTGAAACACGCTCTGGAAAGTTTCAGGACATATTTGAGGAGAATATTAAGGTTGACAAACCTGCCTGATCACAACTTGATGCGACAATATGGTTATGATTTTTGAACGAATTTTCATTATCTGGAAATAAAGACTACCGTTTATTATTTTTTAAACCGGCAATTTTTAAAGAAAAAATCCATTAAAAAACCGGCATTAACTATGCACAGACCCAATCTTTTTCAAACGCTGAACATTTACTTAGGATGTCGATAATAGGACAATGGTCAGAAGTACTCAGGCCAAGGTATTCGACAGTTGAGAGAGAAAACGTCCATTGTTGCCTGACAAACCAGTACATGGACCCCCCAAAAGAATTACTTTTATTTATTTTCTAAAACTCCCGCGACGGAAATCTGATGTTAATTGGTGTACGCCTGAGTGCTTGCAGCCCTCGGGCCACATTCTCGACCATTGTTCTACCTTTATCAAATATGTTATCTTGTCCTGTTGGATTCCTCCTGACTGGCACTCTTTTGATGTGGGTTCTTCGCCTCTTACATGGTCCTCAGCAAAATTTTAATATTCTACAGATAAACTTTCTCCCAATGTGGTGTGATCCGGCTTGATTAAGTGAAAGGAGGTCAATAGACGAAAAAAAAGTCCCTTGAGCCGGATTTGAACCAGCGACATGTACAGTCCACCGCTCTGCCAACTGAGCTATTGAGGGAACGTAATTTTTTTTTATCCTATATTCTCATATTAGAGAAATAAATCGAAGAGAGCTAAAAATGTTCTGAATATTTACTTTTTTAAACATTATTTTAGATATTAGGGAATGTCAAATCCAGCTTTTGTCACTAAGAATCAGGCAAAACTCTTATTTTGATTGTACATCTAGTTTTTTTTATCATACTTACTTCAATGGAGATTTACAATATACATAAAGTATTTACAATATTTTTTCATGAAAACTATATTTAACAATTAACTATTTAAATCAATAGTTTTTAAAAAGCCTCTATTAAAATGCATTAAAACAATAAATTATAAATACGTATTTTATCTTTTCGCCATTGAACAATTAAATTTGAATGAGTCAAAATACGGCTGCATCTATATTCTTCGTCTGAAAGGAAAAATACAAATTTTTTTCTCTAGTTTATTCCCGAGCCTCCACCAAGGCCACCTAGAAGTCTGAAATTTTGTAAATTTTCAATGTCAGTAGGATTGAAGTAGTCTACAACAACAAACAACAAAAAAGCCTTTATTCAGGGTCACTGACCCTATACAGGATTCACCAGAGGTATGCATAAGAACAAAGCAGTGAGACTAAGGAAATAACGATATATACAGAAGAAAAAGAAAAAAAAACAAGAAAGAGAAAGAGGGAAGCAAGAAAAACAACACAAAAAGAGTAGCAGTAAGAAAGTGAGGAGTGAGTGTCACTTGGCCTTCTTCTGAGATATGGACAGGATTGAAGTAGTCTACAAAATACCAGACATCTACGTGGTCAGGAATTATGTCAAGAATTTATCATAAAATTTGAAAGTAAATAATTGTCCATTACCGATCAGCCAGAAGCCTGTAATTTTGTTAACTTGCAATTTCATCGGTTTTGAACTAGTGTACTAAATTTAAGACTTCTGAGTGATCTGTAAGTATATTAAAAATTGATTACAAGATTTGTGGACAGACAGATATGGAAGAAATTGAATAAAAGCTTTTAATAAAAAAAGGTCTCATTTCGGTCATAAAGACGTTAAAACTATGCCCCATCTATTGATCGTCCCTGAAAACTATCTGAATATGTGAAAAAAATACAAGGGGGGATCAATAAATATGGTGAATTATCATATTTCTTAAAAATTAAAAAAGCAAAAATAATTTAAACCACAGAATATTAAAATATAACATCGAGAGACTATTTAAGGTGTTCTGTTCTTTTTTCCCACGCGCGGCGCGAGACTTATAAATAAACTAAAATGGAAGCTCCCTTGAAGGATTGCACCACGCTTGAACAACGTGCAGTTATTCGTTTCTTGAATGCAGAAGGTATTCAAACATCTCAAATATGCCAAAGAATGAAAAATATATATGGCGAGTCTTGTTTGTCTCAAAAAAACATTTATAAATTGGTTAACGAGTTCAAAAATGGACGAAAAACGAAAAAAAAAAAGGGAAGCTTAGTAAAGGTGTTCTCTTCCTTCATGATAATGCAAGGCCGCATACATCATGTAAAACTGTATCTACAATCATTAAATTATGTTTTGAAGTTTTAGAACACACACATCCTGCATATAATCCAGATCTAGCCCCCTCTGACTATTTCCTTTTTGGACTACTAAAGAAGGAGTTAAAGGGAAAGCGATTTGACTCGGATGAAGATGTCCAGAAAGTGGTGCAAGATTTTTTTCACACGCTTCCTAAGAGTGCCTATAAAGAGGGTATTTACAAGTTTCCAGAACGATGGAGACGATGTATAGAAAGCCAAGGTGATTATTTTGAATAAAACAAGTCCTAATTTTTAATATCGTTCTTTTTTTTTTTTTTTGATAAATTATAATCCACCTTATTTATTGATCCCATCTTGTATATATATAGAAGATACCAGACAGTAAAGAAAATAAATAAGCCTATCTGACTTCTCAAAGGAGTATTTCCAAATACCCTAGCGCAGGGGTCGGCAATCTTTTGAGCCAGAAGAGTCAAAAATTACAATTTACAAAATATCAAAGTTTTTAAAGAGCGACAAAATGTATTTCTTTCCAACAATAAATAGTATTCGCATAAATAATATTTACGTATGGAACTATATATTATTTTATTATTATTTATTTAAGTAACCCAGGTTCCTGGAGCGTACAGAAGTCGCCAACTACCCGGGATGTCCTTCTGACCTAAGTCTTCTTGGATTTATATACAATGCCAGTGGAAGTCCAATTAATGAGGTGTCGCCAGAAAGATTTCTTTCTTGGGAGATTTTCTAGGGATGCTGGACATATGTTGGTGATACCTAGGAGAGTGGCTGTCTGGAATCTTTGGTATTGGAAGGTTGGGCAAGTGAAGAGGAGGTGGTCTACAGTTTGGTCTTCATCTTGGCAGTGGGGGCAAGTTGGGTCTTCTTTCGATACCGTTGCAAGGTCTGCCTGAATAAAGCCATGGCCGGTCAAGATTGTTGTGGAGGTAGATCCATGCTTGATGTTTCGAAGCATTTGGAGGAGTAGTTTCGGGGTAGCAGCAAATCTTCGTAGATTTCTGGTGGAGTAATCTTGGATGTAGAGGTCTGTCCACATTTTGAGGGCTATCTGTTCTTTTTTACCGCGCGCGACGCTCTTTGGGAGGGTGGTAAAGGATAGTGGCAGATTAGAATGTGCTGCAGCCTTTGCCGCCTGATCCGCCAGTTCATTTCCTGGAATACGGAACTATATAAAGAGCCGCAGCTTCACATCCAAAGAGCCGCATGCGGCTCGCGAGCCGCAGTTTGCCGGCCCAGCGCCATCTATATGAATAAATCTCAACTAAACGTTGACTTAGGTTTATTTCAGACGCTATATTGGCCATCTCTATATAAGTCTTCTATATCCCTCCATACACCACACTTTGAACAACATGCAAACTAAACCTTGATAGGGTAAATGTCCGAAGAGTCTTGAATATATTAGGTTGATGTAGAAACATTTATCATTTATAAAGGCAAAAAAAAAATAATGTTCATAATTTCATTAAACGAACTTTTCATTAAGTCACGTTCAAATTCCAAATTTTCTAGTAAACCAAGCGCTAATACACTTGCATTAGTTTGGGAAAGGTTAAGCAAATGATAACCTAACTCTCAAACTAACTTTCTGAATTTATTATCACAGGATTTCAGATTTCGACAAATTACAAAATCAAAAGACCCCACAACTCTTTTTATTAATTTGATTAAAGGAAGATTTCGGGCAAACCATTCTTCGACTAACTAAAACGCTTTACAATGTGAAAAAATAATACAAATGTAATATTGTACTGAGATAAGGTGCATAAATTAAGAAAAAGGCTTCTCCTTATCGTGCAACTGAAAGTTGCTGATGGCTTGCGCCATCTATCGGAATAAATATCAACTATTCTCGTTGATTTTTAATTATTCCAGAATTGATATGCACCTTATCCCAGTACAATATTACATTTGTACTATTTTTTCACATTGTGTAGCGTTCTCACGCAATTCTGGCCTTAACTACCCGTTTCATGATTTTTCAGGATGCCTTAATAACCAATTTTTTGGTCGTTGAGGTACAGCTTGCACCACGCTGATGAGGGCCAACAGCCCGGAACGCGTCCGTGGTTAGCTTTTCTTGATTAATCAAGAATGGGTATTTGGCCAATTCTGGAATATTTAAAAATCAACGAGAATAGTTGATATTTATTCCGATAGATGGCGCAAGCCATCAGCAACTTTCAGTTGCACGATAAGGAGAAGCCTTTTTCTTAATAAAACGCTTTAGTTCTCTGAAGAATGGCTTGTCCGAAATCTTCCTTCAATCAAGTAAATAAAAAGAGTTACTGCGTCTTTTGATTATGTAATTTCTGAATGTTCGCACTCGTATGATCAAAATAATTTTACAAAGTTACTGCGCGCATGTATGTTATAATAAAAACAAAATTGTACGTTACAGGAGTCCCTTACAATTGCCCTATAAGTTACATGAAACCACCTCAAATCAAAAAAGAATTCCGAGAGAATTGAGATTCCCTCAATACCAATGAGAGTCTACAAAACATAGCTACAATCCTGTGCATTACATCAAACAATAAAAGTTATTAAGCTGTGGCCAGGAACTCGGTTTAACCAAATAAATAAGAATAAAATCCTTTATCTACCTCAAATCTATTGTATACAGTAAAACATATCTCTAAAGGACAAAACCTAGATGCAGAACCAAAATGTCCTTTAGGGACCTTACCGGAGAGTTTCTAAATAGTAAAAATGGTGATTTTGGCGGTTAAAAACTTTCCATTGTAGAAAGGTGTCCCTATAGTAGGAGTGTCCTCTCATGGAGCTGTTCTACTGAATGTGTATACTTTGTTATATGGGACCCAGCAAGATACATGTAATACTCATTCTTCTATTATAATCATAATGGGAAGAGAGTCGAGCCAATATGCAATATTTATAATTAATTACATAACGTTTTTTAAAAATTCTGTATGGAGATTACCTAAACATTTTCTTCTATACCCGAAGAAAAAAAAATTGATTTTCTGCAGAGCAATTACCGACTTTAGCCTAAATTGTTCGCCAAACTTTGGATGAAATATGCCCGAATTGATGTGGAATCGATTTTTACTCTCCCCCCTCCCCCCTTTCCTTCTTCTTCTTTTATTTTGGCTCTAAAGTTTCATATCCAGAGAGCAGAGAATCGTCCATGAGAGACCTCCCAAATACGCGGATACTCCTGATTGAATCGACGGAACAATTCACTTGTGAAGCTACAAGAATGGTGGTAGTTTTATCGAATGTAATTGTTAAACTATTTGGATGCTAATTTTTATTTTAAATATCAGGCATTAGCGCGCCATCTATACATAAGAAAATAAACTATTTAGCGCGATTTTCTTTTTCGAATAAAATAACTTCCTATATATACACTGCCCTTTACTGATACAACAACAACAACAACAACAACAAAAGCCTTTATTTAGGGCATTCCGCCCCATACAGGATTCGCCGTATTTACACATCAA